AAAACTGTGAAGCACTGTGGGAAACTCGAAATGAAGATATGAGAAGCATAGGAGAAATGTATTGTGCAAATCGAAGCTTCCACTCATAGTTGATATGTCGTTTGATTACTGAATGAAACTTGACCGATGAACAATTCTGCTACAATGCAGTGGTGTGTTCGACGTTGTTGATGTATGTTCTACGAAACTGTCCTGCACAATAAACGACCAATTACACAAGAAACAGTAATTTATCGGCATTATTTCAACTACATGCTTCAATCACTAGACAAGTAACTTCTTCATCGAATAACAAGCTACTTACTTCTCGCTTAGTAAGTCTTAAAGCAATTAACAGAATGATACCCAACACTGTGATTCCACCAGCGACGCCCAATAATATGAAGCTCACTTTCGCGCTCCGTTTCACAGTTTTGTATCCGATTATCAGAGCCATCACAGCTAGGGTGATTGTTATTCCCCATGGTGAAAAAATAGAAAATCCCACGGATTTGGTGACAACAGGTAATGCAATAGACCATGATAAGACCTAAAACATGCATGGATTATATTGAGTTACGAAATCGTAAGTACGTTTATCTTGAAATATCAACTTTAAGAAATACGTATAAAAGTGGGTAAAGTGATATTGTGGTACTCATCATTAGTTTGTCTATTATTCGGATGGAAAGAGGATGGAGCATAATATATTCTTACAAACTAATAAAAGTGTGATCAGTTTGCATTTGAAAACTGGATGGATCAATCGGAAAATATGAGGGATTTTATGACGGAATCGACAGTACACGAATTTTCTTGGAAGGCAATTTAGTCAAATTGAACACCCTTCAGATAACACGTTGATCACGTCACGCTAGTCCCCACCTTAATACTCAACTAGGCACTGACTCAAGAAATATTATGCAGTTGGCGTATCTTAATAAAATGTAATGCAATTGAGCCAAAATGTAACCAAGGTGGCGTGATGTTAACAGGTTATGTAGCTTGCTTTGCAATACTTGTTGCCGGGATTGAGCGTGACGACCACACATCCCTATTTATGAACTAGAGTGATCAACATATTTGAAACAATATTTACTACATTTGACTCACTCTCATATTTTGAACTCTGTCGCATACGTGTATTGAACAGGCACGTAGTGAAGCATGATATCTCAGTAGCCTAGAGCTTTTGAGAATTCCCGACCTGGTCAGCTGCACACATTGATTTGTCTATCATCAATATGTAATCCCTCAACAGGTATGTCTTCCTCAGTCACAGCAGTGTAAAATGAATTTCACGCATGACAAGCAGATTAATCGTGTCACACACAAAACATTTCTTGTCTACATAACGTTCAATGAAGTCTGTAGTCAGCACAAAAGTATTGTCGGATTTTTGCGTCGTTCGAGTCAAAGATGTCACTAATCTGTGACGAATCAGCCTGTACAAATGTGCTAAGCAGCCATTGATCTATAAAGATTATTTTGCGAAATTGTCAGGGATTTGAAAGAAACAAACATGCATTGTCATGAAACAAGATAAACTCACCGAAAGTGAGATCAGAACGTCATTAAGTGGGAAAGTTTCTCTAACTTTCTCATTAATGGAAAGCACTAACAAGAAGGTTGCACCGAGTACACTGAAAAAGCAAAATAAAAGAAATAGGAAGTTATAGAAAATCAACAACATGATGCATCAACCTTTCAGAGAAAAATAAAAACGCTGTTGGCGATAACTAGCGTTCAGTCATCAAAGCAGTGCTGTTTCAATCGAAGCAAAATTTGTTCCACCTACTTCCAGTTGTACATGTATATGAAATAATAACAAAACAACTTAGGATACTCCATTCAGCTGAAAATTAAACTCAAGGAACTGTTTGCTAGTTGAAAATAATTTTGCAGGCACCGTTGGGTGATCACATTCGACCGTAGCCCTCATTTTCAATCCACCACTCACCGAATAACATGTTTATCTTTTGTCACTGACGAAACATTCTTTAACAAGCTGACAGGTCAACACTGATCAAATATTTCAGTCCAACTGTCTCAATCAACAGATAATACAAGCATGCATCGAACAAATAGTGATTGATAGCCATCACACAAGAAGTGTCTATCATGTGTAAGCGATCGGCATATGGTACAAGGGTCACAGGGAAAACCAGTAATCAGTGAGAATGCAGTTATATCCAGCCTATCAGTTCCAAATAGAGACAAATTCAAATCACAGGTTCCACCGCCAGTCACCACTATTAAGAAGCTTATCACAATAATCTACATAAAACTATCCAAAAACTAATGTTTCACCATCATAAAGACACATGTTATGATTTACATCAAATAACTCACGAAAAAACCAGTGGTATGTAAAAAGCGTCGTACAGATGTCGAAGTGCTTCACTAAAATCAAAGGTTTGTAGTAAAACAATTACAGTAGAGACCTACATAGTTGCAACACAGGTCGTAGTGATCACCGTCACCAAAACCATTGAATACGTAAAAATTATGTACTTGATTTGATTACATGTTACACTGTAAATACACAAACACGCCTACCTTTTGAAGACAGCTTCGTGCAGCAGTTGTTGTTCCCAAAAATACCTAAGGAGAAACTTGCATAAAAATATAAATTCACATGGAAACAGGCAGCGAAACCCGGTAACATGAATGGATCCATGTACAAGGCATCAATTAAAACTATTTGATGATCATTCAGTACTCACTATGTCAGGTGGTAGGGTAGTACAGTCTTGATTACGCACAATCACTTCATTCTTCATACTCTCCTGTGTTTGTTTCAGGTTAAACTTTGTGTAATTAAAAAATACACTGATGTGAGCATCAATCAGGTTTATTTAATTCAATTTATCTACTGTTGGACTTTGCACCTTCTCTCCATTAGATAAATGACTTGTTCAATTCGTGTTTCTTATCAGAAGTCATACACAAGAAATTACATTTACTAACAAACAAACTGATTAATTTTGCAGCACAAAGTATAAAATTGTTCACGGTGCCAAACTTCACGAGTTTGCCGAATAAATCCAGAGTGATAAAGTACACAAAGCCAAAACCATAAATTTTGTTTTCCACATCAGAAAACACAATACAAATATTTCTACTTTTATTGTTATAAGTGCATAACAAAGTCCCTTAATTCATTCAGCAAAATGGAACACAACATAATATCTATCAGTCAAAGGTGATTTGTGAAATATTATTATTTCACGGAATATAAACATTTGATCATAGCGAATAATAAAAAGACAGTTGCGATGAAGAAAATTTTCTTTTAAACTAAATCATCAACTAGATTTTACATTCGTGTATTTATCATAAACGGGTGGGTTAGTTCCAGAATAAGTTCCAGTCAAGGGTCAATTTAATAAAATCACAATTAGGAATTAAAAGCTCTCATAAACAGGGAGGACGAATAATACTTAAGTGAAGTAGCATCATAATTACTTAGAAGATTGACGTGTTGTGCAATTATGGGTACACCTTCATGACATTGAAACAGGTATGGAAATCCCCGGCCAGCCTTGACATCTTCATCCATTTCACATGTGGCTGAAACTACCTCCTAAATAATTGAAGGAAGTGGGCTCTGTGAAATCTCTCCCGTCATTGGTTATTAATCCTGGTTGTTATCACTGTTGCAACGGATTTTATTCAAAACAAGCAATAAAGGTTAATAAGGCAGGATTTAATGAATTCATCAAATTTCGTTCAGTTGAAACAAACTGGCGACGGAATAATAACACCTCGTCGGTTATTTTCTGATGAAATCTAGAAATATTTATCTCAAATTTTCAGAGAGCAAAGATCTCTGTTTATTATTTCCTAGCGATATTACGAATTATTTATGTTTTCCTTTACTGAAAATGAGTTAAATCACATAGAAGATTCGTTCAAAACTATCAAAGGGAGTAAAATAAAGACATCTGAGCATCGCAGAGGCACTAGCCATCCAAAAGCTGAAACCCACACTATGTATCCAAAAGAGATACGCCTAACCCTTTTCCTTGCCATTACCATCATAAACAGGTAATACCTTTTGTAGTGAGTATCCCATTTCCTTTCTTATCGAGATTTGCTGTTTATTCGTGCTATTTTTAAGTTTTCCTGATTCTAATTTACTCTACCATATTTTCACATCCGATCTTCATATCTATTTTGTCGTTTTATTCTTTCTACATATTTAATCTCCGATTGCATAAAAAGTTAGTTGTCACATTAGCTATGATCCCACTAATATTTTTATCCAAACATCCTATCTGTTTTTTTCTATTTCCAAATTTCTAACCCATAATTGCACAACACGTCAGTCTTTTAAGTAATTATGATGCTACTTCACTTAAGTATTATTCGTCCTCCCTGTTTATGAGAGCTTTTTAATTCCTAATTGTGATTTTATTAAATTGACCCTTGACTGGAACTTATTCTGGAACTAACCCACCCGTTTATGATAAATACACGAATGTAAAATCTAGTTGATGATTTAGTTTAAAAGAAAATTTTCTTCATCGCAACTGTCTTTTTATTATTCGCTATGATCAAATGTTTATATTCCGTGAAATAATAATATTTCACAAATCACCTTTGACTGATAGATATTATGTTGTGTTCCATTTTGCTGAATGAATTAAGGGACTTTGTTATGCACTTATAACAATAAAAGTAGAAATATTTGTATTGTGTTTTCTGATGTGGAAAACAAAATTTATGGTTTTGGCTTTGTGTACTTTATCACTCTGGATTTATTCGGCAAACTCGTGAAGTTTGGCACCGTGAACAATTTTATACTTTGTGCTGCAAAATTAATCAGTTTGTTTGTTAGTAAATGTAATTTCTTGTGTATGACTTCTGATAAGAAACACGAATTGAACAAGTCATTTATCTAATGGAGAGAAGGTGCAAAGTCCAACAGTAGATAAATTGAATTAAATAAACCTGATTGATGCTCACATCAGTGTATTTTTTAATTACACAAAGTTTAACCTGAAACAAACACAGGAGAGTATGAAGAATGAAGTGATTGTGCGTAATCAAGACTGTACTACCCTACCACCTGACATAGTGAGTACTGAATGATCATCAAATAGTTTTAATTGATGCCTTGTACATGGATCCATTCATGTTACCGGGTTTCGCTGCCTGTTTCCATGTGAATTTATATTTTTATGCAAGTTTCTCCTTAGGTATTTTTGGGAACAACAACTGCTGCACGAAGCTGTCTTCAAAAGGTAGGCGTGTTTGTGTATTTACAGTGTAACATGTAATCAAATCAAGTACATAATTTTTACGTATTCAATGGTTTTGGTGACGGTGATCACTACGACCTGTGTTGCAACTATGTAGGTCTCTACTGTAATTGTTTTACTACAAACCTTTGATTTTAGTGAAGCACTTCGACATCTGTACGACGCTTTTTACATACCACTGGTTTTTTCGTGAGTTATTTGATGTAAATCATAACATGTGTCTTTATGATGGTGAAACATTAGTTTTTGGATAGTTTTATGTAGATTATTGTGATAAGCTTCTTAATAGTGGTGACTGGCGGTGGAACCTGTGATTTGAATTTCTCTCTATTTGGAACTGATAGGCTGGATATAACTGCATTCTCACTGATTACTGGTTTTCCCTGTGACCCTTGTACCATATGCCGATCGCTTACACATGATAGACACTTCTTGTGTGATGGCTATCAATCACTATTTGTTCGATGCATGCTTGTATTATCTGTTGATTGAGACAGTTGGACTGAAATATTTGATCAGTGTTGACCTGTCAGCTTGTTAAAGAATGTTTCGTCAGTGACAAAAGATAAACATGTTATTCGGTGAGTGGTGGATTGAAAATGAGGGCTACGGTCGAATGTGATCACCCAACGGTGACTGCAAAATTATTTTCAACTAGCAAACAGTTCCTTGAGTTTAATTTTCAGCTGAATGGAGTATCCTAAGTTGTTTTGTTATTATTTCATATACATGTACAACTGGAAGTAGGTGGAACAAATTTTGCTTCGATTGAAACAGCACTGCTTTGATGACTGAACGCTAGTTATCGCCAACAGCGTTTTTATTTTTCTCTGAAAGGTTGATGCATCATGTTGTTGATTTTCTATAACTTCCTATTTCTTTTATTTTGCTTTTTCAGTGTACTCGGTGCAACCTTCTTGTTAGTGCTTTCCATTAATGAGAAAGTTAGAGAGACTTTCCCACTTAATGACGTTCTGATCTCACTTTCGGTGAGTTTATCTTGTTTCATGACAATGCATGTTTGTTTCTTTCAAATCCCTGACAATTTCGCAAAATAATCTTTATAGATCAATGGCTGCTTAGCACATTTGTACAGGCTGATTCGTCACAGATTAGTGACATCTTTGACTCGAACGACGCAAAAATCCGACAATACTTTTGTGCTGACTACAGACTTCATTGAACGTTATGTAGACAAGAAATGTTTTGTGTGTGACACGATTAATCTGCTTGTCATGCGTGAAATTCATTTTACACTGCTGTGACTGAGGAAGACATACCTGTTGAGGGATTACATATTGATGATAGACAAATCAATGTGTGCAGCTGACCAGGTCGGGAATTCTCAAAAGCTCTAGGCTACTGAGATATCATGCTTCACTACGTGCCTGTTCAATACACGTATGCGACAGAGTTCAAAATATGAGAGTGAGTCAAATGTAGTAAATATTGTTTCAAATATGTTGATCACTCTAGTTCATAAATAGGGATGTGTGGTCGTCACGCTCAATCCCGGCAACAAGTATTGCAAAGCAAGCTACATAACCTGTTAACATCACGCCACCTTGGTTACATTTTGGCTCAATTGCATTACATTTTATTAAGATACGCCAACTGCATAATATTTCTTGAGTCAGTGCCTAGTTGAGTATTAAGGTGGGGACTAGCGTGACGTGATCAACGTGTTATCTGAAGGGTGTTCAATTTGACTAAATTGCCTTCCAAGAAAATTCGTGTACTGTCGATTCCGTCATAAAATCCCTCATATTTTCCGATTGATCCATCCAGTTTTCAAATGCAAACTGATCACACTTTTATTAGTTTGTAAGAATATATTATGCTCCATCCTCTTTCCATCCGAATAATAGACAAACTAATGATGAGTACCACAATATCACTTTACCCACTTTTATACGTATTTCTTAAAGTTGATATTTCAAGATAAACGTACTTACGATTTCGTAACTCAATATAATCCATGCATGTTTTAGGTCTTATCATGGTCTATTGCATTACCTGTTGTCACCAAATCCGTGGGATTTTCTATTTTTTCACCATGGGGAATAACAATCACCCTAGCTGTGATGGCTCTGATAATCGGATACAAAACTGTGAAACGGAGCGCGAAAGTGAGCTTCATATTATTGGGCGTCGCTGGTGGAATCACAGTGTTGGGTATCATTCTGTTAATTGCTTTAAGACTTACTAAGCGAGAAGTAAGTAGCTTGTTATTCGATGAAGAAGTTACTTGTCTAGTGATTGAAGCATGTAGTTGAAATAATGCCGATAAATTACTGTTTCTTGTGTAATTGGTCGTTTATTGTGCAGGACAGTTTCGTAGAACATACATCAACAACGTCGAACACACCACTGCATTGTAGCAGAATTGTTCATCGGTCAAGTTTCATTCAGTAATCAAACGACATATCAACTATGAGTGGAAGCTTCGATTTGCACAATACATTTCTCCTATGCTTCTCATATCTTCATTTCGAGTTTCCCACAGTGCTTCACAGTTTTGTTCATTTCTCTCATTTGCAAATCGATCTGCGCCTGTATGATTCAAGATTCATGGAGAAGATGTGAATTGACTTATCACTTTCAAATTCTCACTTGCTAATGCCACATAATTTTTCGTATACATGAACTATACGGATGAAAAACACATAGGAAATCACTGCTTGCATCAACCATCTATTACACTTCAGTAATTTGAATTCTGACCGATTTCAGCCACCTTGACGTGGTATTGAATCTTCCATATCTAAATGACACAGCAAGCTGCACTGTTTGTGATTAGTGTTGCTGCAGGTCGGGCCATGACACAAAAGTTGTTTCGATGGCGGTAAGACTAACAAAGTTATCGCCATAGCGTAAATTGTGCACACTGTGTTGAATGTCTTTAGGTGAATTTGTAGTAATACAGAGTCAGATTCTAATATCAATATGGCGTGTCCTTCAGATGATGATGAGATCAGCTCCTCTCACTCTTCAGCCTGTAAAGTTTGAAGTCGCTGAGTTCGATCCTGGGTATTGGGCATCTGACAAATCCTGCGGTGGTCAACAGCCAGTGGAACGACAGTCAAGTAATTTAAGCGTTTAGCTTATGTGCTTCACCAAGTGTTACCACACTTGTCAAGTCTGTGGTAAGAACTGAATTCTAAATATTATTGTTACAACCTCATCAAATCACTAACAGGCCAACTGCAGAGAGTACATTCTAAGTGATATTGACTCATTGAAGAGGGCTACTGACGATAGCCTGCAAGTCGATAACCACCAAACACTGCACATATTATGCAGTCAAGCACTGGATGACATTGAACACAAATAAAGAGTAGGAAATAAGAAACTAAAAGTACTCGTTTGATATTAAAGACAAATCATCGATGTATTATTGGTGCGTAATACTTTCTATCTCTTATTTGCAGCTAATTGCAGTTATTCTGTTTGGCATATTTTTGGCTTTCGCTGTACTCATAGTAAGTCAGATTGTGAATTTTGAGAATATTCATGAGCTTACTATGTTATATGTTTTATGTATATGTATATATATATTATATTCCATCACTAATTATCCGTTGTTATTACACTGATATATCCTCAATTCACTGCTGAGAATTGACGTATGCATTGCTTTGCGTTTTTGTGGGTGTTACTTGATTGAGTATTTATAAATGATTCTGGAATATACGAATCTCGTAGAAGAGCTCCGCTCCTTAATTCTGATCACTGTATTGTACGAGCTCTACTCAAAGTTTACGGAAAGTTACACAAAAAAGCATTCTCTTACTTGCCCAAGAAAGTTGTTCACAGATGATACTCAAATGAGAACGTACAACAACTTAGAAACATGCTCCCTGACACAAGATGGGATCTGTTTAATGATGTTTCACTTGATGACACTATCTCTAATATTACGTCTTATCTTAAATTCTGTTTTGAAATCTGCTGCCTAAAAGAAACACTATTCGTCAACTTCGACCGTTTCTCCTCCCCTCAACTTAAAAGGCTCCGTAGAGAGAAGGGAAAGCTATATAAAATGAAAGATAAAAGTGGTGTAAAAAGAACTAACTTCCTTATCAAGTCTGAAATGCAGAGATTGAATGTTGTGCATAACCGGAAATTCATATCTTGCAATAATGCTTCAAGTATGTGGAAACGTTTTTAAGGAAATCACTGGTGGTAAGCAGATGAACAATATTCCGTATTCTTCTGATGTATGTACTCTTAATAAATCTTTAATTTATTCTCCCTCAAATTCCATGCTTCCCAGTATCATTAGTGTTAATTATAGCCCCCTCCAGGTTTTAACACAAATGATGTTAAAAAGTGCCTCAAGTCTCTGAACTCTTCCCAGAGCAAAGTTCCAGATCATGTACCTAGTAATATTTATAAAAAATGTTCTGATATTCTGTGTCACCCTCTCACTGTTCTGTTTAACAAATCTTTTTCCAGTAATATTGTGCCTGCCGTTTGGAAAGACATTAAAGTTGTACCCATACCTAAATCGTCTACTGGAGCATGTGCCAAATTTTGACCCATTGCTATTACCTCTCCTTTTTTGAAAACTATGGAGAAACTACTTTTACTTAGTCTTGTACCCTCTCTTAAATCCTTTAATGACCCAAAACAGTTTGCCTATAAGCACAGTAGAAGCACTTTAGATGCAGCTGCCATCTTATATCATAACATTGCTTCCAGTCTAGACAAAGGGGCTAAATTTGTTCGTTGTGCCTTCCTAGACTATACATCTGCTTTTGACTCGGTCCCTAGGGACATCTTATTAAATAAGCTTGCTGCAAGTCAAACAGAATGTTGGGCTGTTAACTGGTTACATTCTTATTTCTCAGAAAGAAAGTAGTACACCGTGTATAAAGGGAAGTCTTCCACTTCACTGCCTACTGAAGCTGGTGTCCCTCAAGGAGCTGTCCTTTCTCCTTTTCTTTTTTCTTTCTTCTTACATGACTTGCCTCAGTTTGATGAAATAAGCTTTGTGAAGTGCGCTGATGATTTAACTGTTTCAATGGCTGTTAACTCCCAGCTGGATTTTACCAAAATAAATAGCTTTCTGTCGGGAGTCAGTAAATGGTCTGAGTCTAACGGTCTTAAACTGAATCCTTCTAAATGTCAAACTGTTAATTTCAGCTTAAGATGTAAACGACAATTAAAAGAAGCCGTTGATTCTCATGACAGTTGTAAGATTGATGACAATGATATAGGAATTAAATCAGAAATTAAGTATCTTGGACTTATTCTCTCTTCTGATCTCTCCTGGCCTTCCCATGTCTCAGCGATCTCCAGTAAAATATTCCGCCTAACATTTTACATTAAGAAGTTAAGGCACTCGGGTATAACTCAACCTCTCCTCTTACAGTTCATAAACTCTTGCATCCTACCTGTTCTTCTTTATTGTTCACCCTTACTCTTTCCTGATTTGCTTAAAAAGGACTTTGTCACAATTCGTAGAATGCTGAAGACTGTCAGTAGGGTGAGTGGTGTCCCAGTGGACTACATAGTTAACGTCGTTGTCGATAGGCACTTGATTTCGTGCAGTAAATTTGCTAATAGCATTTTGTCTGACTTCGAGCATCCACTTCACCCTCAGCTTTCACCTTGCATCTCCTCAGGTAAAACAAGAAGTAACTTCAGAAAACTGTATGCTCGCACGTCTAAGTATCAAAATTCTATGATACCATACTTGGCACGTATTTTATGTGATGAAAATAGCGTCAGGCAAGAATTGACTAACCTTTTTTCATCTAGAAAATAGACAATCTCCTCCATCCATCTTTATATACCTTCAAGTTTTACTTTTATGACTTCTATTATATTTATGTTCCTGTTGCTTCTTTGTTTTTACTTTCATAACTGCAAACACCAACTTATCTCTATGACTGCTGTATTCTTTCTTTTTCCCCTCAACATATCATGTAAGGGGAACATTATATTCAATACTTTTAATCATGCAAGGATTTGTATACCGCATCGACAATAATGTGTGAAACAAACCCACGGCAATTTCCACTTGAATTATTATCAATACCATAGCTGCTATCATTATTATTATTTCCATTTTATATGCTGCATGTTTTTTTTTCTATTACCCCTATTGTAAATGTAGAAAGATTTTCTGTGTGATTAATTTTATTTATAATTTGGGGAAGTTAGATGCAATATTGTGATTAATGCTGAAAATTCCATTCTGTATCACAAGTATTGTTTTTGGAATAGAGTAAATCATTATTATTATTCTTACTTGTTGGTTTCTCTGTCTATTATGAAAACACGTTTCTCAACCTCACTTGATTATATCATCTTTTATTATTTTGAATTTTGATTTCTTCTCACGCTTATTTAGTTGCGTCATTAATAAATATTTGTCTTCCTTAATTTAACCCGTATCTAACCCAGTGTACTTAAGAAAAGGCGTAAACAGCAAAGAAAATTTTCTTTTCGACGATTCATTTTCATGATCTGTACAATCGTAATTATATTAAACAAAGACTTCTGGCAAACTTTGTCCACGGAAAATGAAGAACACAATTTTAAATGTGTAAGAAAGGATGACTGAATGTAGGTTAGAAAAGAAGCAGATGTTGGCATGACGTAACATGTGTGAGAAAATGGCTAATCAATAAGCTAGTGTGGAATGGACAGGAACTACTGGAAAGGCGATAAAGTGTTTTAATATAAAATCTCTCTGAAAAAATTATGTTATTATTAGACAGTAATAGAGCGGTTTATAAAATATGGATGATGGGAAAAATAATGATAACAGAATATTAGCAATAATAACAATAATAATAGTGAACTAACATAATAAAAAGAAGCAGCAAAATTATAGTAAGCACTTTACTCTGGCCACCGTAGGGCGACAGAATGTATGTATTGCTTTTGAATCCAGAGGTCCGTTTCAGATATATTCAGAGACTCTGTGTGGGATTATGAAGCATTGATGTGAAAGTGCTCGATGTCTCGAGATGACAAGTTGTTCGAGGATAGATCTGCTGCCGTCATGTGATTTATGTATTATCAAGTTTTCCATGAATTACGCAATCTTATAATTTGAGTACCTCGAATTATTGCTGCTACTCATGCAGTCCACTTTATGCTTTATCTGAGAAACTTCGTCCAAATTGCTCATATGAATACAGCAATCTCCTATTGGGAGGTGATTTCACTTTCCAAACACCATATGTTGAAAATACGTTGATTTCAGAATCTTGCTTCAGTTTGAGAAAGTCATGTGAATTAACTGAATAATCTCTCAACAGGAAGACCATCAGTCTAATCAATATATATGCGTAAGTTGAGGACAGTGATGTAAACATTTTGAAGTTGACGACAGTCTTGTTGAAGCGATTATTCATATAACTTACAATGTTTTTATATTGTGTTTCTCTGTAATAGGTGTTATATCTCACTGGACAAGGTATAAAGCGTTGCAACAAAGAAACTACGAGGACTCTCCTACCAAGTGGGTTAGCTCTGATTACTTGGGCAGAAATTGTTTATTTATTCGTATCCATAGCTGTGATGTTTATATAAGGCAAAATAACGGAACTTTATTTAATTGAAGAATGATTTCCTCCTTCTTTGGAACAGCAAGTTGATTTATGCATGAAAAACATTCAACTCTTTTTCCCTCTTGTTGGCTCTGTTGTCAAAATGAATTCTATTTGAAATATATTATGCAGTGTTGTATTTTATGTTTTTTATAAACGGATGGATGGATTTTATTCATGTGCTGCATAGTGAGACACTACCCACTACGTCTCATAGTGTGGGAACATTTTATCTTGAGATGAGGGGAGGGACAAACAACTCAAAATTTATTTTTTTTATTTTTACTAACTGTTAAATACCAGGTATAAATAAATTAACGATGAGTTAGTGCACACAGATTGCATGTTTGAAATGTTCATCAAGTATTAGCATAAGAATGTTTACAATTATTATTATAATTATGTTTCAATAGTTTACACACAATGATAAATCTTGTTTTGTGTGAACTATGGAAATATTAATATACTTTATTCGATTTAATCCACAATGCTCAAGCTTTTTACTGATATTAAGTTTAAATGAAAATGCTACCTGCAACATTTGAGAATTTACCAATAGTAATTTTGCACACAAACGCAGATTAGGGTTTTCATTGATCTAACTCAACCAAAACAGTTCTCATTTGACTAAACATTGTGTGTATTCAGCTATGAATGTTTTCTCTGTTTATTCTTACAGGTGTACACAGAGTCTGTTCATCTTCTCTCAGACTGCGTTATTGTGAGTATCCTGCACTGTGTGTATGTTATCTTCCTTCATTTTCAGTTGACTTTTCTGTCATGATGCTTAAGGAGAGATTTTCCTGCTGCATGATGACTATAGTAATCATTTGGTTATTTTATTTTCAACACAATATCTGAGAAGGTCTTTGAAAAAGGCCTGCCTAAGCAGCTAAGCTATACTGTTTATTCACCAGCCAAACAACCAATACTGAGTTCAAGAATTTGAGGCGAACTGCCCTGTTTAGCCCCTTCTATGGGTGTTGGCTAGTTTGGCTTCTGGTGCCGGAGCTAGTTACATTGAGCGTAAGACTAGGACTAGGTTCGAAGAAATATTTACGTGGTTCAAAACTATCTCATCTCATGGTTACTGAAAATCAAGTTGACTTCACTGAAGCTTTGCAAGTCACTGATCGTATTACACCCAACCATTCAAATTGCTGCACTAGTACGACTATCAAACACAGCAGAGGTAATCAGAATTCATTTGAACAAACCAAATATGTGTGTGCAGGTTCTTTTATTGCTGTGAGCAACTACACAATATGTATCAAGTTTCAAAAATTGATTTTTCGTCTCCTCTTGTAACAACCTTTTTTCTATATTTATTTCATTATGATTACAACTCTGGCTTATTGTTTTAATTTATTTGTACCTTATGTGATTCCACTGAGTCAACCTAATCTTTTAAGCCAACATTACTTTACAAATGTCTCGATTATGTGATAAACTGTTGATAAACCCTACGAACTAACTGACTTTGAATTCCATATTTATATTCACTACCTTCTCTTGAAGCTTAGATAACTTGTTGAAGTATCAACCAGTCGGCTGTTTTGCTGTATTTTAATACGTTGTTTTCACCGTCCGTACACATGGAATTCATCACTTCCATTGACTTAAATAATGGCACTGCTGTTGCAATTTTTATGTAGCAACTATGCAGGGGCGATAATGAGAGACGAATTGAAGCGGAATGCACTTCTTTTTTCAACTCATTGTCTTCACTGAATGTTAAAATGTAAATTTATTTCATACCTGAGTCTAGTTTTGTGTTATGAATAGATGAACGTCGTCTCCTGATAATGCAATCGGTATTGACTTTCGTTGTGTTTGCAATGTTATCCTTCTTGGACAAGGTGAAATATTGAAACTACAGATTTTACGGAGAGACATTCAGTTAGCAAGATGTCATATAAATGCCACATCAGTGTGAGGTAAGTATCCAAATGTAATTGTAACAAAACAATTCATGGAGTGAAGAAATGTTCAGAATTTTCAGAAAAACATTTTGAGAAGCAAAAACTGAAGAAGTATCAGAGATTATGTGGCATCTGTGTAAAATTCAGCTAGTTAGCTTATACTCAGTCAAACGGCACAAAACAACATTTGAAAATTTCATAGAGAAAGGCCTCATTCATCCTTATCTCCTTTTCAACCCAATGCGATCTTAAATAACATTTCTCGACAGATAATGTAGCAGATTAGCATTCAGAATTCGTGTCACTTTCATTTCTCCTTTCAATGAATCTATTGTCAAGCAGTACAATCATATAAATACATTTTTTATAAGAAATTATATCCGATGAAGGAATTGAATCTAAGGTGTGAATACATAAAATAATTAATAGTTCGAAACGCCAGTAAAATATTTGTGATTTAATCATAGTTAAATGTTCAATGGCAAAACAATAACAACAACCAACCGTCAGTGTCCTAACCCAGGACATTTGCTTATTAAGGCAAACTCGTAGACCACTGAGCCATTGGGACTAGATCCAGTGGCCAGTCGATGAATTCAAACTTCTGCCAATTAACGATATAACGCTACCAATGGTCAATGTAATTCGTGGCGATTATCTGTTCTCACAACCAACATGCTGACAACTACTGCTCACTATGAATCTTGTTACCAACGGAATATGATTAAAATTTAGTGAGCTGTGTTTATGAAATTGTTTTCATTATTGTGCAAGCAAAATCAGCAGACCATTGATATACCTTTTAAGTGAAGTGACAGCTAAGCAGTCTGGAGAAAACAATAGACATACACCTCAAATGTGGTGTCCGAGAATCTAAGAGACCATTTATATATCGTGACCAGTTGACTCTAATGTTATTAATTGATACCTGATAAAACTGAAGCGAAATTATTTATAGTGGACTCTGGCTATCATAACATTGACTAGGCAGTGTAAGGACATTGCTGAACCACTTTTATTAGTCAAATATCAACCCAATTTCGTGGATTTATTGCATTTACTCCTAAACAAATAGATGGTAGTTACTACACAGTAATCAAACATCATAGTGCATTTTACAGCTGGTTAAAAATCGCTATTAAAGTCACTTTGTCAACTGTTTGTTGCAGCCTTCACAAAACTTTAGGCTCATGGATGTCGTGTTTGACTTCGCTAAAAATCTGCTGCTGAATACTTACATATTTCAACAAATTTAAATCTGCTTTATTCTCTTCCAGGTGTTCTCTTACTCACATTTGCTTTTATATAAAATGCTTATCATAAGAGAACATTTATGTGTAGTGTTGTACTCCAGACTCTTCTATCTGAACACTTTCATGCAACGAAGTAGCTCTGTTCCATAACTGATCAATGCAAATGCTTGTTGTATCAGTATTTTCTGGTTGAGAGAATGAAATATGAAATATAATTCGTTTGAGATGAAGTCAAAGAGAGTAATGTGAATTGCTCATACTGATAACTTGATGACAGCGGTTACAAAAATGATTATATCATGGCAACATTATTTGGAAGAAGAATGTTGACAGTTACGAATAATCGCTTTAATGTCTGCAGACCATAGATGAGATGTTTATTCCGCTGTTTAGCATGACTGCTCTTTCAGAAGCTATTGGTGAAGAATTGCGTCTATTTCAGTGTAAATTATATGCCTACGTTTCGAAGAAACACTTGTGAAGATATAAGTCCAATTACTGTATTCTATGAATAAATCTTGGATTTACTGCATTCTGGAATCTTACACGTATTTCAAATAAACTAAATTTATTTGATATGTTCAATCGCCAAGGCAGTGTATGTTTCACCAGTAATGAAGTATGCCATTCAAACTTCAAATTTTGAGGTATGTGTGGATAAATTTCTTCAAATGTGTAGTCACTGTTCGTCAGTTAGTAAACAGAGGATATCTACCTCAAGGGCAATCCACTTTCACTAAAAAACAGCACGAATGACATACGAAGAATAAATGGATTTGAATGAAGTCTGTTCAATAACGAGTGATCTCTAAATGAAGCATACACAGCAGGATAATTACCACATATCAAAAAGAATAATAATATATTAACCGAAATAATCTCCAACAGCAAATAACAGCATCCATATTATTACAGAAACAAAATATAAATTCATACTACCTAACAGTGATGAGTAGTACGAAGTTAAACAGGAAAGTTACAATGTTTAGATATCTTTACACCTATTCGAGTTGTTCACTAAGGTCACCACATGATAGGTATAATTTCGATGTAAAAATGTATTTATCAATAAAGAGTCGTTGATGAGGAGTAAATGGAAAATTACCAATGTTGCTTATTTGTCAGGTATAACATATTTCAGTTGTAACAGACTAAAACGTCTATTTCTTGTCATACTGAGTGTTTCCTCTGCTCATTTGCACCGTATTATTGGCACTACTAATGATTAATACAGTTTCTGAATTTATTCTAGTTCACCCAACTAATGTAGATTGATACCGTATTTTGCATTGTCACCAGTCCTTATTACGCGTTCAACAACGAATGTCACTCCCACTGCTAGATGAATAGGAATCATTCTGATTGAATTAAATTGTCAGATCTGAGTAATGACAATGATTTGTGTTGTTGCGTCTAAATTGCAAAATGTTTCTGTTTTGAATGCATGGTAGATTTGGTATTCCATGTTTGTTATTATTTGAAACGTCCTTATCAGAATTATAGATTTCATCATATTTAGCAATAACACACAGTGAGCAATGAGGAAACAGGCATAAAATGGACTCACACAAAAATCTTGGAGGATCTGGACTTCGCCAATGATATATGTCTGATTTTCCACAAACTGGACGGTGTGCAAGTGAAAAGCAACAGGTTGGCAGAAGAAGCATCAAAGATAGGACTTCTGTAAGCGCAATATCGCTTTAAATTAAGTCACGCGTAGATAAAGGCTATCTTGGTCCAGAACAAACAAGAAGCCGGTCACTGTTTCTACGGTACTATTAATTAACAAATCAATAGATATATATACAACAAACCTTAACGGTTTCAAGAGTACAAAACACAATGCTTAACAGAAAGCAAGGTACCGCTATCAGAGCGGTATAACGTTAAAGCCAAAATTGTGAACTAGCCGGATCAG